AAAGTGTGCCGCTTGTTTGCAAGCGTGAGTGTACTCTTTCTTGTTGCTCCTGACGGTGCGGCGCCGCAACACAAAAATCGATTGCAACAGGTGCAGCAGGCATGCACGTCTACCCTATGACTCATGTGTCGGTCATGTCTCGCCTTTCCTAATGGTCGCTCAGTGCAGTTTGTTATTGTATGCAGATTGGTTTACTGTGTGTTACTGTGCAGTGTTTACATGCATGTTAACGTAAGTAACGTATGTGTTGTGAAGCAGTTTTTACTGAAATTTGCCCGAGTATGGTGACGAAAATAAAGTTGTTGTATCAATGGAATAATTTCCTAATTATCCGGCATTTTCACTTATCCAATGTTCTGCCGGCCCATTTATGTTGGATAAGCAAGACTCTACTGTATTACAAGATAGGGCAAGTGGGAAAACCTGCCTCCAGAGCAGCTACAAAGGTGCAGGCAATTGTGACAAAATGTTTTTGAGACATTTGCTCTGGAGCAGGAGCTTGGCCAGAAGTCAGTTCAGTTTTGCAAGATCCAGGATGTTATCGGGAGCCAAGAGCACTCCCCAGATATGGAAAAGACCTGTGCGAAGCCAACCTTGCTGTTAGACAAAGTGAGTCAATAGCTTTAGGCTGCTGGTAGTGGAAGGCAGCGGTGGCAACCACCCTGTTTCCCTGTGTTGGAAAAATACAGAACTGTGTTTGTCATATAACCAGTCCTCCAGTCTTCTGGTAGACACTAGCCCTCACCAGTATTGAAGTAAAATTCAACTGCCGGTTCAGTTGAATGTTCTACATAGGGAAGAGAAGGCAAACTATCATATCCCTCAGCACAGACAGCAAAGTAACTTTGATCACCCTGATGTCATGGATCAGACACCAGTTTCTTGTTTGGGTAGGATTTCACTCCCACAGTGTATTCTCATAAGACCAATGTATACACAATGTTTATCTGGGTGTTATCACCAAGTAATCTATTGTACTTGGTCACTGTAGGCCCACTTGTGGATAATTCAAAATAAAAATTGGGAGTGTATTCATTAAACAAGCCTGCCCCTTATCTGAGGTTCCCAGGTGTGTTCAGTCTGCAACTTCCCACATTCCTACCATGGATGGCAATTGCAGTTCTAACATATCAGGAGAAGTTCAGGCTGTAATGGGCTACATTATATCTTCAGAAGCCATTTGACTGTTTAATGGATAGCGCTGTGAAAAAGGTATTTGGTCCATTGAAACTGAAAATGTACTTGTCCCTGCATCAGTTAATGAATCTTCAGACATACTGGACAGAGGTATGGCTCCCAAATTATGTTGTGCTTGTCTGGTATAGAGTTTTGGATATACCCAAATATTTAGATGAATATGGAGATCTCCAATATCACAACCAGTTGGCTAACTGATATTCCAGTGGCTAACCTGAATGTCCCTAAGATGACAAAAATCTTTGCAGCCTGGTTCCCTGCATATTGCAGTGTAGTTTCTTCCAGATATAGACCAGGCATACTCAGGTTAAAGTCCCTATTTGACTACTCAACCATGAAGCTCCCTAGAAGACTTTGGACCATTCTCTTCTGCCTCACAAAGTTGAGTTGGCCGACATCTTTCTTCATTGTATACTGCTTGATACATCAACCAAAGCCTTTATGTAGTGTTTAACTTACAATCAAATATCCTGATTCCATTATTTTGGGAGCCTTTGGACAAGATGTCCACTTTCACCATTGCTCCCAAATTGAGGGAAAGAGGTCAAAGTGAACAAACTTTATCTATCTGTTCTCCTGTGATTGTTCACTTGGACACTTGGCTTGAAAAGAATAAAACTGGCATTCCATTTGAAACCAGAGCCTGGTTTGCCACAACTCATTATTGGCTGAAAATGTTTTTTCTCAGTCACTCTGGTGCCTCTATATGTACTAATAGCTTTCCATCCAGCTGCCTCCTAGCTTATCCCCTGAATTGCTCTGTTCCTTGGAGTACAAGTGAGCAGCAAAGGCTTTGAGTCAATGACTTAAGCTTATAGACTTTCAGCAAGACACTGCCTCTTTGTCTAGTGGAATTAGAGACTGGGCCATTTGTCCTAAAGAGAAACCTATCTTCATATATTCTCTCTTTGATATTAATGATACAGAGGTGAATATTTATGAAAGCGAGTTTAATATGTTGCCGTTGGCAGCTTTACAGGAGAAACATATCCTGTTGATTTATTTATCACATTTCTAGGCTGTCAACTCAACAACTATCCATGAAACAATAACTGTCCAAGGAAACAACAGACCATCCTTCTACATCCCCCTCCCCTACCTTAAAGGGTCCAGCCCAACCATCCTAACCCAAGGCCTAGGAGAAAATCTAGGTTTTAAAGATCACTTGAAGGCAGCGGCCATACGAATCTCTAAAGGGCCGGCACAGCAACAGATGGCCTGCTTCTTGGGTCCTGCTAGATGACTTTGCTTAATCAACAAGACCTGAAGGAAGCCCACTCTTTCAGAGCACACAGGACAGGCAGTCCCTCAACTAGATAGGCCCTGTGCCATGCAGGGCTTTACTTGAGTCAACTTGACTTGATGTATTATATTATTGATTAGAATATAAACTTTCATTCTAGGATTGGCAGATCCTTTGGCCTTACCTCAGGCTGTGGCTGCTTATCAAGGCTGCCACTTCATTGGAATGCCAGAGTGTGAGGTAATGTAATTTATAAACAATCAACATTAGAACCACTAAATGTTACTCTTCCTACTACTGTACTTTTGTTTCCTTCTATTATATAAAATTACTAAGTTATATTACTAATAATGTAACCTTGTTCCTTTTTCCTTGGAATACATGCCAATGAATTCAATGTAGGATGTACAAAACCTAACATTCTGGGAAAGGAATGTTCCAGAAGACTCTGGAAACAGTCGTTCCTCTGGTTCGTGGCAGTCATGTTGTTCTGAGGATGATCTGGTCATTTCTCAAAAGTTAATATTCTGAACCAGAAGCAGTTTGTACTATTCCAGGACTGGATCAGGTCCAGATCGTCACAATCCAGATTGATATGGTCCGGAAAAGGAACAGAATATTCCAAAGAACTATGGAATGTTAAGTTTTGCACATTCAGTGTGTCTGTTTGTTTGTTTATACATGGTTATATATTGCAACCATAGGGTACTTCTTCCTGCCACTCTGTCAATTCCATATTTTTCAATAAAATGTAATAATCATACTATCCTATCTTTCCTCCAAGAGTTCAGTGCCACATACAGTACATTTCCCTTCTCTAATTTTCCCCTTCTTTTCGTTGCATAGGTCTTACTGGCACAGTGTGTAGTCTATTTTGCCAGAGCACCAAAGTCTATTGAAGTATACAGAGCTTATAGTAATGTGAAAGCATGCCTGAGAGAGCACCAAGGGCCACTCCCTCCTGTTCCTTTACATTTGCGGAATGCACCAACCAAGCTCATGAAAAATTTAGGTTATGGTAAAGATTATAAATATAATCCTGTGTACAAGGATCCTGTAGAACAAGAATATCTACCTGAAGAGTTGAAAGGGATCGATTTTTTTACACTAACCAGAATTTGATGGAACGGCCTGTGTTTTCTTTTCCCTGTCACACACAACTTATATTAATCCTGTAATATTTTTCTTAAAAGTTAATTTCAGTTTTAAGAATGCCATATTTTTCTGGGCAAGTCATACTGAACTGGTAGCCTCAAAGTTGGAGGCCTACCTGTTTTGCATTTATATAATATGCATATTAATTACATCATTATTTTTGGAACAAATGAAACCGTTTTAGGGATATTCTGCTATTCAGATTCAAGGCAAAAAGCTGCTCTGGGCTGGTATGGATATGCTCAGTGATGTTGTCAGAACAAGCCATGCCTTTCCTACACTAATTTTGTAGTCCCAGGAAAATATGTATTCTAGTTAAGGAGCTGCTCCTTTTCCACTTGAAATTCAAAAAGCTGCACATTCCTAAACTGTTTTGTACTGCAAAGAAAATTTTATTGGAAGTTTTATGCAAAATATAAGAATTGTTTTGAAAACCTTGGATAAAATACAGAAATATATTCAGTATGCAGATATATAGGCAACTGAAATCACTGGATTTAAGGATATAAAAGCATTATTTCAAAAATTAAAAAAAAAATTAAAAATTGACCAGTCTAGCTGATATTAGACTTTTTCAATGGCATTGATATAAGTATATTTTAATACTCCCAGTGCAATCCATAGAATTTAAAAGGGCCTAATTTTGACTTGTGCCCTTGGTTGGAACTTGATTTATTCCAGTCTATGTTAAGGACTTTGCAAGAAAAATGCTGCATTTACATCTTAAGATGAAAAAAACCTATATCATTGAAATGTAACTTGCCAAATTATTTTTGAAACTGTAAATAAAGTTAATTTAGAAATCATTAGTGTGTCCATTTTGTTAAAAGACTTCAGTTATTATAATATTTTAGGTACTCTCTTTGGTATGCAGCCTTACAGTAAGTTCATGACGTTTCATTTTGCTAGCCCAAAGCTCCATACGTAGATAGTTGTGAGAGACTGGGGTGGGCTGGGAAAGGAAGGGAAGGGAAGGGAAAGTAGACATCAACAATCAAGAGATTGAGGTGAATCATTGGCAGCTTGTCTCATGAATAGCAACTTAGCCAAGATGTCAGGAAATCCAGGAAGAAGCTTTTCAAGTCAAAAATGAATGTGGAACAGTCCTCTTACAGATTCCAAGATTCTATACTTACCCCAGAGTAGCATTAAAGAGAGGAAGAGGAGAAGATGAAATTGTTCTTGTTTCCTAATCTTGCCCAGCAAGTAGGGTTTGGCGATAGTGAAAGTTCATTTTTTGTTATTGATACTGCACTGACTGCTTAGGAACCTTGGGGAAATTTGGCAGAATGCAGCCTTGATTTTCAGCAAATCACGACCTGGAGTGAAAAACGCCACAGTGCTGCAGCAGGAACAGGGTGGGTCTGACATTGAGACCATGGCCACCATCTTTAGGCAGCCTCCTGTGCACTTTCTCCTACTTCTTAGTCTGACTGGCTGAAATAACGTTGCTGTTAGTTTAATATTATATTTTAATATTTTATTTAATTAGATTATTCTTATAATTATATAAAATAATATAAATAATTATATTATTTAATAATAATAAAGTAATATGAGATTTTAACACTGAAAGCTTGGGGTAGAGATGAGATGAGGGTAATGTCACGATTGTACCATGGTTAGTTGCAAGTGAGGAAGGACCTTCAGTCTCAAGTTTAATGTTGTGACTCAATGTTTAATTTTAAAAAAAGTCACAACTTTTCATTTTGAAATGGTGCTGTAGATGCTATGTCAGTCTGCTGGAGAACACAGCTTTTGGGGTAATATCGTTTTTTTTTAATTCGTTAAACATCTTGCTACATTAAAATAGCAATAGCATTTGTTAACATACCATGATTACTTTAAAATGCCTTCAGAATATTTAATGAGGACAGCAAAAATATACCCTGTACTGCCACTAAATATTACTGAATTACATAGTGGCTAAAGTGACAGAAAATCTGTGAAGAAACTGATCACTTGTCTAAGTTTAATTTCATCTTGTTTCAATAAGCCATGGGTGAGTCTGAGCACTGTTTGAGCGACATGAACATGGAGTTAAAATCTTAAAAACTCTTCTTGTCATATGAAGGAGAAGCATATAATCTGTGGGAAAGATACAACCTGCACCTGAATATCTCAATGAATGGTTGGTCACATCTCCCCTATCATTCCTCCAGGTAGGTTGTGCCCAGAATTTCCAGCCAGCTTGGCCATTTATTACATTCAAATTTCCTTCCTTCTAGAATTACCTCTAGCCTTACTCTCAAAACAAATTACTGGTTGTTGTTTTTTTTAAATGATCATGTAATTTTTTAAAAAAGTCTCAAAACAGTACAGTAAAGCTGGGAACAAGTCCATAAGTTAATAAAGTCCCAGTTTAAATGCAGTCTGCAGTCAGAACTGAGTTTGTATCTGAGCACCTGCTTTGCTAGCAAAAAATTCCACATTTGGCCCCTCTGACCTCCCAACATTTCAAAAGCCCCTCTGGGTGCTTCTCCATGCAGTAAGACCTTAATTTATCCACACAACAAAGCTGCCATTCCCTACCTTGCACCACTTTGAGCATCTTTAGCCCCCTCAAGCTTTTCCCATCGGCAGTTCCAGCTGCAATGCCTACAAGAATGTCTGCACAACCTCAGCCACCAAACATCTCCAGCACCTTTTGAACAATGAGAGCTGAAAAAAAATATTCACTAACAGCCCAAGCCACCATTGGCCCTAAAACAGCAATGAGCTGAAAGGGCAGGAAGGAAAAGGCAGACTTTTCCATGATTTCACTACATCAAGTATCTATTTTGGATGGAAATGTTCATAGGAACATTTTTTTCCCTTCCATCACAATTGGCACATATTTCGCACAACTGGAAATTTCATCAGTTGCATTTATCTTCTAGCAATTTTGTTGTGGTTAAAGCAGCTGTTTAGAAAGACAGATCAAGCTTCTTAGCTGTCAGAGATTCTCTCCCCCCACTTTTTTTTTTTTTTTAAATTTCAGCCTAAATTCAATCATGAATGTTTCTTCTCCTCCAGGCAGGGTGAAACTCTAGGTTTCCTTCCAGCCTGTATTCTTGGGAATTAGAATCCCCAGGATTCCCAAAATGCTGGAAATTTTGGGAGTTTTCTCAATGCACCTGGAGGGGGCCCGGTTAGGGACACCTTGGCTAATAAACCACAACATGGTACATTGTGCTTGGTTTTGTTTAGGAGAAACAGATATGCGAGTAAAGGACTTTATGGCAATAGTGACCTGCAGGAAGGGTGTTTTACTCTTGACGTTTGACTGGCTTATTTCTGCTATTCAGTTACAGGTTAGCATTTGGCTTGTCCAGAGCATTTCTTGACATTTCTTGAGTTTAGTTTGTCTTGGGATTTTTTTTGGGGGGGGGGGGTAATTGCTTTGTTGGTTTGTTTGTACAATGTTTATTCTGTTTTACTGGAGGATTGACTTTCTTTCCTTCTTTCCTCTCTTGAAAAATAAAAGGGTGTCTGAGGAATGAAAAGAGCAGATGCTTATTAAGAACATCTGAAAATACCTTTTCTTTTTGAGAAACGCGTTATCTAATATGTCTTTGGCTCCCTTTTCTTTAAGCAGGCAGGAAATGGGAAAAATCCATGTTTGTTGGCTGGAAAATGTTGGCATCTAAGGAAGAGAAGATGACCTAAGTCAGAGTGGACAGATTCCTACTAAGAGCTGACAGCCAGGAATCTTGTAACATCTTGCCCAGCTAAATGGCATTGTGTATTCCTATATTTGTCCCTAGACTGTATTCAAGTCTATCAGTAAATAGCAAAGATCTGTGGAAAGAACATTAAAGCTCCTTCAGACATTTGGAGACCTGGCAGAAATTCAAACCTGGAGCATCCTGCTTCTTTCGTGTCTTGTGAACTGGAAAACAGCACCAGGTTTCTTAACCCAAATCAGTCTTCCTGCTCACTTACAATTGGTACAAACTAAGAGGTCAGCTCACTGCTAAGAAGTCAGCTCATCGCTATGTGAATATATGTCTTCCACAGAGCTGATTTATATTAAACCTGTCTCCAGATGACCAAAGGAATTTAAAATTAGGAGACAAAAGAGGCTGCATTTATAACCCTCATCATGTATTTAATCTACACTTAACCTCACCCCAACTCCACAAAAGAGGGTAGGATTTTCCCCATGTTTCTATCCTGTATAGAATCTGTAGTAACAGTAACCACAGTAATAACTTGTTTTCCCAAGGCAAACTGCCTTTAAAAATATTTTTTAAAAGTATTATCACAGTACGTCACAACATTTAAGATACAGAAATGCAGCACATGAAGTGACATTTTTAAAATAGTAGTATTTCCCTTTGGCCTTGGAAAGGCAAATAGATATTCAGGAAGGAGAAGTATATATTTTGATAAGCACAAAGCAGCTGCATGGCGTTACAAAGAGCAGAGTAATCTAAATTTCATGGGTATTCAACTCAGCCGACTTGCTCATCTCAGCATCTGAGGCATCACGTTTATACTGAACATGTTCCTTGGCTTAAGACAAATATGTAGCATCCTGCCATGCATAATTCAATCTGGTATCACTTCATTTTTAGCTTTTTTCAATTCCTCTAAGGATCCATTTCAAGAGAAAACAACATAGGACCAGCCAGGGTGAATCAAAACAATTACAAATCCAGTCCAAATTTGATTTATCACAATCCTTATTATATTACAATAAATTTATTACAATTCCAAGTGGCAGCACATATTATTTGGACTCCTCCTGAAAATCAGGATTCCCATAGCAATTAATGCCAATGAACAAAGGGGTGATGTCACAAAGTTGAGGAGGGGAGGGTTGGTTCATCCTGACCCAGGAGTTCCTTCATTGGGCTTTAGTTAAGCTTCAAAGCAGCCTCCACTAGCAATTATAGGGGCATTAAAAGGCAGGAAAAGTCCTTTTCCTCAATGAGCTACTGATCAGAGGTGGCTTGAAGTGGGGCTGGGTACCTTGGGTGAGGGAAAAGGTTTTAGAGAAGGAGAGTTTCCCAAACAAGCCTGAAGGCTGGATGGACCAGAGATTCTCTATGCCTAGTGGATGGACTGCACTGATACTGTAATGAGCTTCCACTGAGTCATCTAGCACAGGGTTCCTCAACCTTGGCAACTTTAAGACAGGTGGACTTCAACTCCCAGAATCCCCCAGCCACCCTAACCCTTGCTGGCCGGGGAATTCTGGAAGTTGAAGTCCACCCATCCTAAAGTTGCCAAGGTTGAGGAACCCTGATCTAGCATAAGAAATCACTGACTGCATCAGATCTAAGGGAAAAACTTTTAGCATATTTTTTCACCGGAGTCAGGCAAATTCCAAATAAAAGGTCTCCAAGCAGGACATTCACTCTCATTTCTTCTTTTCCACTTCTCTTTCAATTACAAAAAGCTGTGGATATTTCCTGTTTCCATTTTCTTAGTCATTTGTGCAGGTAATAAACAGACAATGGTTTCTATCTTATGAAACACGTTGCATATTTATTCATATTGAGCCATTTTAAAGATAAACATTTCAAGTTGTCCCCACTCAGCCATCTCCCCTTCCCTCATTATCATTCCATCGATAGTACATCATGTTTGTAGAGTTTGTGCATGTTTTAAAGGTATATATTAAGAATGTGATAGGCTTAAATGTTTATTACAAATACATACCTATCATTTTCACTTAGATTCCATTTAGATTCCTTTTAGATTAACATAGGCATGAATCTAAACTTAGTTTAGCGCTAGCAGTAGAACAGCCTGCCTCTTGGAGTCATGGATGCTCCACCACCGGACATTTTCAAGAAAAGACTGGACAGCCATTGGTCCAGAATGGTGTAAGGATTTCTGCCCTGAAGAGGGGGTTGGACTACAAGATCCCTTTCAACCCTATAAGATTCGCCTTGCTGTGAGAGCTAGGATAATATTCTAAAAAAGTTAACCTAAATTGTAATCTAAAGGGAACTTCTTCACAACCTTTATTTGGTAAGAGTTAATTTGATTCTTTGTTCAGACCTAAAAAAAATAATCTTAACAAGTCATGTTAGCTCATTCATAAATAAAAATAAAACAGAAAATCAGAATTACCAAATTAGTAAAATGGTTGGTGGTGGAAGCAAAACCAAGAGACCCCTTAAAGATCTCCCTAGAGTACTGTGATTACACTTTAATTCTGCAAAACAATTTTTAAAAAAGAATCTCAGTAACAGTTAAAGTACACAACAGAGGCTTACTGAAGCACTCTGTGTTCTGTACTTTTCTTATGGAAAATACATTTTGATGAAGCTTTGGTCTTATCACTCTCATGGGCTATCCAGAAAATGTCATTGGCTGGGAAATTGTGGTTAGGGTATCTGAGCAACATCACACTATCATTATTGATAACATTTACCCATTTTTCATTGTAACCATAAATCACGGCTTTCTTAAATATTCAAAGCAAGAATGACCCCAAATCATCCAAGCAACAGATGAAACTGAATTGCAGAAGTGCCAAACCCTTCAAAATGTCATTAGAATTTCTTCATTTCACACCTACCTTCAATAAAATGAATGCCTGAAAGACAGGCAACAGCGCATAGCTCAGATTTACTGAGAAGAGAGTGTGGAGGAAAAAAAAAGTCAGAAATCAGAGAGGAAATGATTTAAGCAGATTGAGGCGACTGGTGATTGGCATGTGTACAATCCTGCATTCACTGAATGATGGGTAAAGCTGTACCATAATTTGTCATAAGGTACTGATTAAGGCAAGTGCCAAATTCCTTTGCATTTTTAAGAACAAGAAAGAGGTGTCTTTCTGGCTTCTGTATTATCAATCATTTTCCACTGGTCCAGCTTCTGGGCTAATGACTCTTGTATTGTATTGAATAAAGGCCAACTTTATTCCAGTAATTCATGTGTCAATTTGTTTTACAAATACAATGCACAGCAGCCCTCCCCAGCCTGATGGCTTCCAAAGAGATCAGACTACAATTCCCAGAATTCCTAGCTGGCTGGAAATTAAGAGAACTGCAGCCAAACACGCCTGAAAGTCCTAGATTAGAGATGGTGGCCCTTTATAGCAAAGTGTCATATAAAACCGCTTAACAGACTCAAGAGCATCCAAGGTGGAAAACACCTGGAGAAACCCAACTTGTTTATGCCTATCCACCCAAGCAAGCAAAGGAATGTGTGTTTTATAGGAGGCTGGAAGGTAGCTTTGTGACTCATGATACTCTTTATGGAGAAGCAAATCTACCAAGGAAAAGTATAGTCTTTGTTGGATTATGACGGATAAAAAATAGGAAAGGATGGTCAGCATTAAAATCCTCTTCCATGGGCAGACAAAGTAACATGATCGTAGCAGCAGTAGCTGCTGCTGCTTCAGTGCCCACTTCATTTACTTCTATAAATGACTTGTGAACAATTTTAGACACATGGAGGTCCTGGGCTCCTGACATTCCAGACAAATTAGCCTTGCCACTGTCAAACACATCTAAAAGCCCCAGTGCTGCTAAGTAAGATTTAAGATCATAGCTTTCCTCCAGCTTGAATTTAGGTAGATGTACATAGATGTCCAAGTCGGAATGCATATTTTTCGGCTGGGTCCACTCTTGGAGTTTTTCCAAAGTCAGCTGCTTCTCCAGCTAAAATGGCAAAGAAGGAGAAGTAATCATTTCCATCATTGTGGCAAAACATTTCCATTTCAGCACAGAGGAATGCCTTGCTGAAAAGCATGGCATCACTGACTTCTATGTGAATGAATTAGCAGAGTCAGAGAGTACATTTCTCTGTCCCAGACTTGGAGTTTATCTATGGGAGTCAATAAAAATATGCCAGCAGACTGAGTGCAAGGCAGGTGCACTCATGCCAAACTATTTACAGCATGTTTCTCAACCTCAGCAACTGATGGCTGGGAAATTCTGGGAGTTGAGTCCACACATCTTAAAGTTGCTGAGGTTGAGAAACACTGATTTACAGCTTTAACAAATGTTCAGATAAAAAAAAAAGAATTAAAGTAATGCAGAGCTTATAACATAGACATTATTAGAAAAAGTATAACACAAATATTTTTAAAGGATGTATTTTCAGGCAAACCTGAACATTATTGTTCAGGTTTGCCTGAAACACTGATTGGCTGTCCTATCCAAACATAACATCAAAAGCATTTATTTTATAGATGCTTTCTAACTTTTTAAATTTAATTCAAATCTAACCTGTTTTCAAATCTTGCACCTGAGATGATTAGGGAATTCATAACATCTGGCACAACAACACAGGAGACTCAACTCAAGATTTTCTGGGGATCCCCAGAATAATGCAGCCTCTCTTCAGAACCCCAACAATGTATGCGGAGCCACTCAATGCATAACATAAACCAGAACCTTGCCCATGCATATGAGTGATCCTACCAACTACTGCGTTCCTGTTGTATTTAGAATGATTTTAGGACAATGATTTTATAGAAATAGGAAGAAAACAAAAAAATCACCTCTTCTAGGCCTGTGGAATTATCCTCAACGTCATCAGGCAGAAGGATTAACATGCTAAGTTCTTTTCCCTCGTATGGGAGTTCCAGCACACGACACTTGCATTCAGGGATATAACCAAAAGGAAGTTTCTCTTTCATGAACATCATCTTCACATTCTTCTTTTCTGTCTGAATTATTTTAAGAATATTACAGTGAAGAGCTTATAAAAACACAAACACTTCCACATGTATATGCTGAAACTGATGGAACTAATTCTGGGACAGCACGCAGAAGAAGTGGATCTTTGCAAACCTATATTAATACGTATAACTCTCCTTTGAAATCATACACACCCTATTAAGCTAAATGAAATTCACTTCCAGGTAAGGTTAAACAGAACACATAAACCAATTTAAAAACTAAACCAAGGAAAAATGTATCTATGGAAAAAAAATAAAAATTGCTTTATCATTTTTAGCTGTTTTCCTTCATGTATTAGAGCAAACTAATGGGCAAGTAACCCACTAAATTCAGTAAAATATTTCAAAATGGAATTATGTTTAACTTATGGGAAAGATGAGATTCATATCGCTACATGTGATTAGGTCTAGAGAACTGATATAAGCCTTTAAAAACACAACTATAGGTAAATTAGGATTACATGTTCAGTGATACTTCATGAAAGCATTTACTACCCAAACAACAAGCTGCTGTTACTGAAGACAGACAGTATGAGAAAACAGTTCATTACCTTATTTAGTCTAAAAGGCTTGTCTTCAGTATCTTCTTCTTTAAATGCCTCTGCCCAGTTGCCTTTAAAGTAGACAGCATTCACCAAAACCAGTTTAGTCACTTCACTGACGGAGCCTTCAGATAACAACTCAGGGATTTTACCTCGACAGAGAAATTACAGTGTTAACCAGCTGTGCAAAGAGCTGAGACCTAGATAATATTATCAGATTAATGAGACTAATCTAGATGCACTCTGTAAATGTACATTTCCTCTCTGCAGTCACACTCTTAAATAATTTAAAAAAAAAGATAGTGAAGTAGCAAAAGCTGCTGTGAATGGCACCGACTGGCTGTTCCATTATGCACACAGGGTGCAACATCTCCAGCATTACTTCTCCAATTTAAAATAAAATCCTCTTTTTAATCAATGTATTAGTCAAAACGTTCAGTGTTCTTAAACTGTTCCAAAAACAGCATGGGGGAGGAGCTTGAGGGAGACCAACACCCAAAGCTAAACTAGCTTTCAGGTGAATTATAGGGGACTGAAAACAAGTTCCTATTCTATGTAACTGAAGAGTGACTCAGTTACTATTCTATGGGGCTCCTTTTTATATTGGAACTGCCTATGACTCCATTTTTGTTTTTATGTTCCTTCATGCAGCAGCTTTTTAATGTGTTCAAATTGGGAGGGAAAAACCCCCACAGGTATTAATCTTCATTCTTTTGCAGATGCCTGTTTTCCCACCACAGGTTCCTTATCAGCAAGATTTATGAAGTTACAGAATAATTTGAGAGAGTTAGAACATTGATAACAGTTGCATATACTTTTGTGGAATCTTGTGCTAAGTCCAAGAGTGCATACCACTTGTTTTCTACCTCTTCTTTCTTCAAAATTTTCCACTTTGACCCATTCTCCCCATCTAAAACTCTCAGCATTCTGCAGCTACTGAACATCCTAGCCCATCATCAAGATAGGTTCCCCTTGCAGAAAGTTCTCTTTTTTTTTTTTAATTCTGTAAAATCTGGGGTTCCCTACAACATACTCTTATGTTTTCCTATTTAGAAATGGTTATGTTTGGGCTATCAAGTGAACATAACCCAATTCCTGAGTTCTCTGTTTAGAGGATAGATAAAAGTGCAGGTAAAAATGTGTTTGCCAAAGCATCCGTCAGATACTAACTGACATTTTTGTTTATAATGTTTCATTTCATAATATTTGCAGAGCAACTCAAACCATCATCATTCAGAAGTCAGTCCAGGATAAATGAGCAGGGAACTTGCTCCAACTGATGGTAATGTAGTATTACAGACTCTATTATACAGATGAAGCTCACTGATTCTTTAAAACAGAACTAGATAACTCTCCAATAAAAGAAAATTCTTACACAGTAAACGAAGTGGGGTTAATTGGTCTTAATTGCTGGAATATGCAATGGAGTGAAATGCCCTATTGCTGGTATAATTGTGTAGTGTAATAAGGCCATGATGCTACATGATTATACCAGAATTTATGCAGAGAGTGAAGGAGAAACTAACCAAAGAAATAGTTTGACCTAACAAAGTGGGTCTGGCTAGCATTGAAACTGTGGCCTGATGAAGAACTGCCTAAAACACAATAGTTTACAGCCTGCAGAACACAGAAGTAAAACTAATGGCTGTTCTAGTAGGGAATAGCTACTAGAACAGGGAAGTAGATCTCTAGAAGTGCTAAAGCATGCTGGGTAAACAGAATCAAGGTTAATAATAAAAAGGGGAAAATCAGGTTATTAGGGAGCAGGATTTAGTTGCTAAGGGATGCTGTTTTTGCTCATGGAAAGATCACAATACAGTGGTACCTCAGGTTACGAACACCTCTGTTAACAAACTTTTCGGGTTACGACCAGCTCCGGCCGCAAAAATTTACCTCGGTTTGCGAACTCCGCCTCGGGGTACAAACAGGATACGCGGCCATTTTCCCTCCCGTGACACGGTCCGCGGCATTTTTCCGCCCCTGACACATGGTCCGTGGCCATTTTCCGCCCCTGACACATGGTCCGTGGCCATTTTTCCGCCCCTGACACATGGTCCGTGGCCATTTTTCCGCCCCGACACGTGGTCCGTGGCCATTTTTTCTGCCCGACACGTGGTCCGCGGCCATTTTCCGCCCCTGACACGTGGTCCGCGGCCATTTTCCGCCCCTGACACGTGGTCGTAGGGAGGGGGACTCTCCCTCCA